GGGGAAGCTTTCAATTCAATTTGGGAATCTTTCATGCACTTTATGGAAGATGAAGATATGGCTATAGTATTACAAAAGTCTGCAGAAAGAGGTAATATGTGAATGAAGAATGGATCACTGTGAAGAGGGAGGAAAAGTAACCTTTTGTGAGGTTTGTTGTGGTTTTTTAGTTTTTCCTTTCACCTTTTTAACTTTTACATTATTGCATCTTATTTTGTTTTCTAATGTTGGAATCATAATAATATGTTCCTACCTGACCCATACCACAACTACCCAAGTTTCCTGTCAATCCCTTTGGTTGTTATAATCTTGATTACAAACATACAAAATAAAATAAAAAATAGACAGGAGTGAAAACCGGTAAACCCTGACTCTTACAGTCCTCTAAATACCAGCATCTGAAGTTGCAACGATATTATTTCTATTTCTGAATTCATTCTTACTCTTGTGACCTCATAAGCTTTGATCCAACCCAAACCATAGATAATTTATTTAAGTGTAACTAATCAGCTAATCAGTCTATGTCTGTGTTTGACCTCTTACGAAACAAGACTATGATCTCAAGTAGGCAGAAGAGACAAATGAAGACTTGAGCATTCTTTTTGCAAGTTAGGGGCTTTCCACACATCCCAAAAATTAAATAGAAAATAGTGCTGACCTTTGCATGGTTGCCGTGTCAGTCTGTGAGATTCTCTTGTCTTCTGAATCCAGTTATCCCTCTTATTTCAGCAATGGTTTTTATCAAAAAGACAAAAAAAAGAAGAGCGGGTTTGAAGGACAGAGGAGTGAAAGAGATAGAAAGTGAGAAACCCGAGGCGACTGACTCCTGACCCCAGAGATGAGAGCGTAGATAACGAGGAGGTAATCCCAAGTATTTTCTACGTCTGCTTTCGGACTTCCAGTGAGGATCAGTGTCCTCGCTACAGCGCTTTGGCCTGGTTGTCCTGCGGCTGCCACCTTCCCACAATATCACACAGTCTACTTAAGATCTCAACATATTAGCATGAAAGTGGATCAGACTTTAAGGGGCTGCCCGTTATTCCCACATAATAAAACATTGCTTTCTGTTTGTCAGACTTGAAACAGACATGTGTTTTTTAAGGTCTTACCTGTGCAGCTTCTGTCGACAACAAGTTCACACTTATGTGGCTTCAGCCGCTTGTGGTGGTTTAGATTAGCTTCATATTTGTTTAGGCAAATGTCTGCAGCACGGAGAGAGCATTTTCCATCTGTAGTCCACGTTATTTGATGTATTTACTTCATGAATGTCACTTCTTGTTCTTCCATGCAACCAAAGTGCATGGCTCCCAACATCGGTGCTTCACATAAAAAAAACCTCAGAAACCATAATTCTAATTTTGATGGTGGCAGGGTTGGGGGGTGCTCAGTCCTCAGACAGAGCTGGTGTCCTCTGATGTAGACCCACAGCCATATCTCAGGTCGAGCTCATTGCATACAGCTTCGCGGACTGAGTCTTTTTTAAGACTTGTTATTTTCATGGGTCTGGTCTTCTTCATGACGAAAGGGCTTATTCCCTGATAATCATCAGTGGGCACTTTAGAAGGGGCTCTCCTAGACTTCACAATGGGAGAGGGTCTGCTCTTGAGATTTACCCCACTTTCTTTTGGCCCCTCGATTAACTTTTCTATTTCATCCTGGATCTCCTTCACCCTGTCAGTGTCCATGCCCATTCTTGCAGAGTCCTGTTGATCAAATAATTCTATCTTCCTCCGTGCAACATTCAGAGGTACTACTCAGAATCTGCTCTTCCGAGCGACAATATAATCAATCTCGCTCTGAGTGAAGGTGTGATCCATGGCTTTTTTGATGGACTGCTCCTTTTTGGCGATTTTGTGTAGAGTTGGGACTTGCATCCCAGCAGCGATCATTTTTAGTTTCCACTTCGCAAACTCGCTTTCTGTGAGTTTCTGGTTGGATGCAAACTCCACCAAAGACACAATTTCAGCAACACAGTAAAGTGGTTTGCTGCCATTAATGACTACCCTGATGAAGCAGCCAGTCACTGTGGTGGCCAAGAAGGGGGTGTGGCACAATTGCTCCAGCTGATTTCTAGACAATACCAGAAACACCACTCCAAATGAATGTAAATGTTGCTAAATTCTCCCTAAATGTGTGAAAAGACAAAAGTTTGCGAGTTTACCAATTAAAAATATAAAATTAAGATGATAAAATGTTAGTGTTTGTGTTCACAGCTTTTTTCTGCTGCCTCTCTACATAAATGTTTCCATCAAGATATCTCTTCAAAGTGGGTGTTTGTTCATAGTGTGCATTTTATTGTGTTCTCCTAATCCACTGGGGCAACACTTCATCTTTCCAAGTTCAGTTAAATCACCGGGGACTGTATTTCATAGAAAATTAATTTATCGTGATGATATTTGTTCCATTATGGAATCAATCAGGAATCTCTTTTATTAATCTCAGTTACATAATCATATTCAATGCGTCAATCCACATGCCTGGATCAGACATAACGAAAATCTGTCTATCAGGCTTTCTATTTCTCATTCAGGTTATTTCAGCTGTTCATATGATGTATGATCCTGTATCATTAGAAACAACTGCACTAAACTTGATCTGTAAATACTGTAAGCTCCAATGGGAAACAACTCAGAGTTTTAGATGGGATTCCCCTTACACACACACGCACACACTTTTTCTGGTTTGTTATCCTCTTCTGATGTCTTCTAGTAAAAGTACTGCTGTTTAGATTTCCCCAAATCCCCCCTCTGCGCCAATTTAGTAACCCTGCAATAAACCCCTTAATCCCAAACCGGCCATTTTCGACAGGGTTGCACAACCACTCCTCTTATGCAACTGAGAGTATCTAGATCCAATTACAGAACAAATTTGCAGAGAGGGAGGTTGGATGACGAGGGTGCTGGTGCAAAACAACATTTGGATTAGATGATTGATTAAATACTGAATACTAATACTATGTCATTTAACAATGGAAATATACAAGACATAACATTATGGCTGATGATGTGTCAGCACAGTTGCCTTGATTGTAGTTCTATATTTCCGAGGTTTCCACTCACGACACCTTGTTTCAACCTTCAGGCTACATGGACCTTTTCATATGTGGCATTAAAGCAACACTGAGCAACAGCACCCTCTGCAGCCACACATGGTTATTTAATTCTGTTGGACGCCATGTCCGGTGATTTCATGGTTTTCATGTTAAGGAAAAACAAAGAGTGAAAGTCTCACTTACTCAACTGAAACAACCTATTGGTGGATTTTCTTTTTGATCCACAGTTTACCCAGCTGCAGCACCCTCTACCGGCGAGAAGCTGTGACTGCAAGGCAAAAAGTTGACTAAACATGTCAATTAAAAAAAACAACCTTTTATTTCATTTTCTAGAGCAACCTTTTGACAGTATAAGAGCAGCAGGCTAAATATTTTTTAGATTGATGTATATCAATTTGATTTAATTTCAGAATATTCAGAGTATTTTCTTTGTTGCCCATGTCATGCACAAATGTAGAGCATGATGTATTTAACGTTAGACACCATCAGAGGACTTCATTGGTCGTAATTGTTGGTTATATTGTCTTAAACACTAATTCCACATTCCTTGGATAAGCCTTAAGCCAAGCCTCCTGTCCACTGTACAGGTTAAATCTCTGACTTCCAGCCTTAAAGCAAGAACAGACCTGACCTTTCTCCCTGTTCCAGGTCAGTGAACTAGATGCAACGATAATGTTGTTAAGTGGTTATGTAAATTGTGCAGTAAGTGATAACTTACAGAGAAGAAACTTGATGAGGTGGTGATCAGACCGGAGGTTAAACACTGCAGCAGGAGAGCAGTTGATTGACAGTGATGAAGTTCAGGTGTATGGAGGAGGAGGAGCTCTGATCCTCACAACACTCACATATTGCCTGACAAGGACACGTCAAGAGAAGAAACCGCAAGGATACCATCACTGCAATATTTCAAAAGAAGACACAATTCACTGAGCTGGGAAAACAAATCAAATTCAGTTAATTGTGTCTTGTTGTCAAGGTTTTAAACAACATGGCTCCTCCACCACTCCGTATATAACATTAAAACAAGTGTTGAGCAATAACTAGAGGTGATTGTCTTACAGCTAGAAGACAAAGTAGGTTTCAGGTAATCTGTCTTTTGTGTCAGAGCCTCCCAGGATTGGAATAATTTGCCACAACATTCCTTCTCCTCCACATGAAGAGCCTGGCTTATTAGAAATTAAAACTGTAAACACTGAAATGTTATTTGTGTTATTGGTTGTCTTGCATGTGTTGTGCCTGCAGGTTGGCAGCTGCTTGTCAATGTCTGCTTCATGTCACCAGGGCCTTATATTAATATTGTAATGTCCGTTTGTTAATTGTTGTCATGTACTGTTCCTTCTGTGTATTCTAACCTGTTAATGTCTCATTTTCTCTGCTTTTATAGTTGTTTGCTCTGGCAGATGTTATTAATATGCACTGTGTCTGTCAATGAAAGTAATAAAGGCTATAGGGCAAACTGAGGGGGAAACAGGCAGGATGGTGACAGGGGGAAACAACACATTTTGTTTTGGCAAAATAAGAGAAGCAGCGTTAAAGCCAAAATCTCACAATCCCTACAGTGGGTCTAAATATTAAATGTTAAAATATCTGCAAGTTTATTGTATTCTGCAATGTTGACTTTTATCACTTTTCATGTTTTGATTATAATAGAAATTTGGTGTTTTTTAAAAGTGACATTGCACCCCTTCATCCTGTCTTTACACGTATTGACCAGTAGATGGCACAATAGTATCAGTTGTCCTCTCCCCTCCTGCCTGAGACCTTAGTTCACTCTGTGTTTCTCTAGAGTGTGAATTATTCAGTCAGCCTGGCTGTGATGGAGCAGAGATAAAGAGGAGGACAGAGGGTCAGTCTGATCTGATCGTGTCACCGCTGCCTCCTCCGCTCCTCAGGTTTCAGTCCACAGTGAAACATAGACCACCTGATGGAGTCAGGCCTGTTTGATTGACTTATTGCCACTGTAATGGAAGTCGGTGTAATTTAATGTCAGAGTGGAAGGAACTGTAGATTTACAACAAACATGTTGCATCTCTGTGACGACTAATCCTGCATTCATTTCACATGCCACCAAGGTTTCTTCATTTTTACACCTTGTGTCACCTAAAGGGGATGAGTGGCGTCAGTCGCCATAACAACTACCCACCCAACAGCCGTCTGAAACCTGACTCTCTCATCTAACCTTTCACTCTGCCTGCTTACAATCATTTACTTGGCAATACCCAGTGGCAGCAGGTTGCATGTGTATGTTTTTGTGACGGACTTGGCACAGAGGTTATTTCCAGGCCCTGACATGACATCTTACCTTCCACCCCCACCAAAAAAAAACAACTTAACAGTGACATGAGGACACTTTGCTGATTTTTACTAAGAAATATAGATAAAGAGGATCCCATGCCCTGTATAATTCACTTATATCTCCCCTCCCAGTCTAAGTCAAAAGAGCATTCTTGGCCTTTTAAACTCTCTCGCTCTTTGATCCACCGCCACCTTAAGTGCATCTGCTGCATATGGCTGAAGACACATTCCTGCAGACCGACAATAAAGCGAGGGGTCGGGTATAGTCGGCTTTACCTTGGAATGCCAGAGCAAAGTGTTCGGCCTTAAATCTAGTTGAGCTGTGGACAAAACATTTTAATAATGTGAAGGGGGGAAAAGTTTCAAGTAGGACTCCATAGTGGCTGCAGTGGCATGTCGGAGTAAGATTCATGAAGTGCAGAGTCTGTATTATTGTGTTCAAAGCAGATTCAGGCTTATCCTGAATCAGACTCGTCTCTCTGGTCATTTTTGTAATTGTCTTATTATAGAAATATCAGATTTTCAACATTTTATATGAAGACACAATAGTTTGTTTTTATATAATTTCCACAATAAAAGTATTTTCCCAAATTGATCAATATCGACATGATCTTAATGTTTTCAGCGTTTCTACAGAACTGTGGTGTGTTAATCTCTCTCTCGCTCTGTGTGTGTGTGTGTACCCATATTACAGTGAGGCAGCCTATCAGAACCATTCACAATGTACTGACACACGTTTGATTTACTCAGTTGTCTGATATTCCTTCAGCCACTCCACAAGACAGTCAGACTGCTCGCTCTACACATTACCTTGTATGGACAACATCTCCACAGCAAACACAGGACTTCAGTGTGAACCTGTGTTTCGAATCAGTCATATTTGGTGGATTCTTTGTCTATTTAAGTTTCCCTCCATCCTTCAGAACTATTCCCTCCTTCCTTTATTATCTTTACCTTAAGCATTAACAATTAAACCTCCCCAAACCTCAGAGAGCAAGTTTTTAATCTCTCATGGCATACGATGGCAGAAGATGATGGAAAAAAAGGTTTCTATTGTGTTGATTTTACATTTATGAATTAATGTTATTGTACATTCAACATTTTCCTGCTCTAAAAAGTGCTATCACCAAAGCTATCTAACCTAATTAACCTAAATGACACATAAAAAAAGCTACAACACGGTTTTAAAAAGTCATCTTTAATTTTACAGTCACAATCATTTCTTTCTTTCCAGTGTCTGAAAACCATAAAAAATAAATATACATTATGTTACAAAACATTTCCAGTGTCTGGGATCAATAAAACAACGAGGACATTTATCGGCAGTCTCGACTGCTTGAGGGCGAAACACTGAGGACGAACAGTGTGTGTGGTACTAAGGCGTTCAGTGAGGGGTAAACCAGGCTTTAAGTGGCATTATACAAGCTGCAGAATGCATTAGAGATGGTGTTAATTTCACTTTGAATTCAGATTCAGACATAAAGTAATAAAATAATAATTGATTTTTAAGAGTTGATTTATTTTAATTATGGTTTTGCTGTTTTTGGAATAAAACTAAGGAAACATATTTCTGCCAAGTCATTAAAAATTGATCATTACATTATAACTTAATATATTTTATGTTACAATATAAAATATATTGTAACGTGGAAGGTTTTATGATTTAACAATAAAGTGTCACGTTATAACATGATATGTTTTACATAATACATGCCCGACAGCAACATGCTCCTGCACAAAACTAAGTTCAAAGTGAAATAACCCAAACTTCAGTCTGCACGTTGACTGTATATCAGGACTTTGGTAACCAGGAATATTTGTTGCATTGAAGAAAGAGGCAGGACGGACACTGGAAAGAGAAGGTTTCAGGTTCATAGTGCTCCAACTAGAAAAACTCCATACACACATTGAAACACAACAGACTTTAATCTGTTATGTGTGTGTACGGCAACTAAGCTGCCAGAGTGAGTTACATCACCAGGAACCCCACTAGGCTAACACAGTAAGAGTGTGTAAGCGTGTGTGTGTGTGAGTGTGTGTGTGTGTGTGCCCTGGATTGAGGCCTAAAGGCACACAGGTAATTGTTCTCGGTCGATAACCAGCATATCAAGTGATTTTCACAACAGGGAAGCATTCCCAGTGCAACGCAGGCGAAATGATTTTTTAAGTGTCCAAACTCGTCCTTGCTGCAGCTGAAATACAAAATAGATCATTTTTCTTCTTCACCTTTAACAATATCTACACATTAATTACACTCTAAATGCATGGGGATGCCTTTCTTTGAGTTAAAAAAAGAGGAAAAGAAGAAAAGAAGAGCACTTGGCGTGTGTCGGGAACAGCTTGAGTCGAGTTTATGTCTGAAGCTTCTGTAGTACCGGCACCTATGGTTCATGCACAGTGATTATACGTCCAATTTTCTCCATGAGAAAGATGCAAAGTCCCTAAATATTGTCCAGCTGTTTAACTGAAGTGTCATAATAACGGTCCTTTTAGGATTGCAATGCATTCTGGGGGCATTCTTCATCTTCATTCCCCTTTACTTTAGTGGTTTTGGCACACGTGGCTCCATTTCATCCCCTGTCCAACACAGTATTCCCTTTATTATTTCTCAAATCTTTTCATTATCTCTGCTTCTCAGGCAGTCTTTAAGTCTGCAATTAATACTGCTCTCCAGAGAGGGGGAACACCAGAGGGACGGATCGGGCAGAGGGACTTTTTCTTCCACTCATTCCATCCTCGTCTTCAGCCCCCCTCCATCTTACTTTATTCTTTCATTTGACTCCCCTCTACTCTTGGCTCTCCTCCCACAGGGGTTTGTCCTGCTCGCTCCCTTCTTTACCAGGGGCGGGCCGGTCTGGGTTTTCCTGACGGGTCAGATTGAAGTCTCGTTACTGCCACTGGGAGCGGAAGAAGAAATGGAGAAAGGGAAAGAAGAGGGACGAAAGGGTGGAGGATGAAACCACAAAAATCTTATAATTTCATGTAATAATCAAAGGAATAGTTTGACATTTTGGGTAAAATACTTTTACCATTTTCTTGCGAACAGTTAGATAAAAAGACTGAGGTCACTTTCATGTGTATACGCAAAATATGAAGCGGTATTACTGCTTTTAGACATGCATTCAAGTCTGCATATTTTCCTCAAACTATCTAGATGTGTAGTATGTGAGAATGCAAATGTCCGGGTCAGTTGCTCCTCCGTAAGATGATTTTGATATTGATATTTTCTGGAGTTCATGCCTGAAAACACTTTTACAGACATGAGAGGAGTAATTTTCTCAGCAAGAAGAAAATATGTGTAGTTTTCAATATAATAAAGTATGATTTGTGCAAAAGTTATTGTTATTATTATTATTATTAGGACACAGAATGGTGTCAGTTAATAAAGCCATTGCCACGGTTACATGCCTGTGTTCTCTCACTACTTACTCTGAGTCTGAATCGTTGCCTCCGTTGACTGTCCCTGACTTCAAGTGCATGGCCACCCCCCCATTGGTCTCCCGGTAGATGCCCGCCGGCGGGGGTCCGACAGGGATCTGCGGCCGCGGGGTGACGGGCGGTTTGATGAGGGAGCTGTTTTCGTGGTTGCCAGGGCGACCACCGTCGTTGGAGGCCAGCGATGGCGGCCGCGAGGAAGGGGTCATGATGTTGACAGAGGAAGGAGGCGGGGAAGAAGTGGTGTTGTTGTTGTTGGGGGGCGGGGAGGTGATGGTGGGAGAGTTGTAGTCGCTCAGCTTCTCCCTCAGGCGGTTCTTCATGTTCTTGTCAGTGAGCGGAGGAGGGTAGCTGATCTTGTTCTTTAAGATGCCTGAGTTTGGACAAACAGTTCCAGTGTCAATAAATAATCTTAATACATTCATTTGATTTGATTCAATCGAGTTCTTCTCACTTACCTTTTCTCTGCTCTGGATGATGGTTGCTGTTGGGTTGGCAGGGGGACGCTGTATCTTTCGCATTACTGGGCATCTGTTTGTCTCTCTCCTGGGGCGTCTCCCTCTCTCCGGTGTGATTGAGCTTATTTTCTGAGTGCAGCTCCACGTTCACCTTGGTCTCCACCCTCAGCTTCTCTGCCCTGCCTGGATCCTCACTGTCGCTGGCTGTGGTGGGCTCTGTTGGCCAGTAAGGCTTCATATGATTGGGCACTGAATCCACTGATGGGAGGAACGAGACATATTTGAAGCAGCAATAATAAAACAGAATTCCACTAAGAATTTAAGTAGCATATAATGGAAAATTAAGAACAGTACATGACTTCACAAAGGACTGACTGTGCTTCACTTTTAGCCTCAGTGGAACCACACATATACCTTTAGGCGTGCTGTGAACGGGCTGCCTCTCATTGTTCCACTTCGGCTTGACGTCGATGTCATCGTCCTCGCTGTCAGAGGAGTGCGAGGAGGCGTAGGAGGAGCTGTGCTCGTCCACTGACAGCTCACTGTCTGAGTCCGAGTCTGGGGGGGGGGGCAAGGAGGGTTAGTCAGCTGAGAAACTTTGACCTGATACAAACACCTGAAAAACTAAGGAGAACTCACCATCTCCCTTGGTGCCATTTCTATGGAATAGAGGTCCATCCAGATCGGTGCGTCCTTTAGCTGCTCCTGAGGAGACACTGGGCTTCTGACCCGACTCCTCCCTTCATAGATAAAGACAGATACAGCAGGGAGGAGGGGAGAGGAGGACAGGGAGTGGAAGAAAAGTGTAAAGTAGAGGTTGAGATGAACAGGATACGGAGAGGGGAAGTCCAGCGTCTCTGGACATGAATTCAAGCCCCTTGAGGCTTGAGGCAACTTTTATACAATCAGACATCTCTTATTAAAATATTTGTCTCTGTTGTTGGCTTGAATTAAGACAAGAACAAATAATGACATGTGGTTTAGCTGTCCTTAACCATCAACGTTAAATGAGACGTATGGACAAATCTAGTGTAATTCAAATCATTACACCTGCATCATCTATTTCAATCTATTTATAATACTATAAATTATATATTTTATAGGGTTTTTAACAGTGATTTTTTTATTTTGGTCCCTAATTTGATCATAATTGATTACAAATGATGGATTCAATTCCTCAGTCATCTCCTCCTGCTTATTCCAGTTTGGATTGAGATGTTGGCCAGAGGGTAAAAATGCAACCGGAGACTCTGACTTATCTGATGGTTGTTCTGAAAGAAGCTTCTTGAAGCAGCTGCAAACATGCCCCAGGGAAGATGTGTATATATATATTCATATATACTCTCCTTTCCTTAACCCTCTGTCCCTCTCTTCTCCCCTTTTCCCTCGCTCTGACTGTGTCTGTTTCTGAAAGGCAGCACGCCACATCGCTCGCCCCCAGCATTTCTGCTCTCATTGACCCCAGTGTCAGTTCGCATTACCCAGATGACAGCTTTACGAGTCAAGGCGCACAGTCAGACCTCAGCTCGATTCTGTTAAACTCTTTTAAAACACCAGGTACATGTAACACCACTCCACTGCGATGAAAACACGCCTGTGATAGTCTGAAAACACTGGTGAGATTAGCCCGAGATGAGGAGCCACTCGATCGTGGGAGGGCTATATCTCAACATGTCAACGTAACTTGTGCTGTTGCTCAGGTGCTGATTAAGAAAGTTAAAAAAAAGGAATGAAGATTTATACATGCTAATAAATATCTACTACACTCAATTGGTTTATGACATTATTTACAACCTATGTTTCTTTAAAAGCTGCAATACATAAAAAGTAAAAGAAGGACATAAATAATACAAATGTACAGTGTAGAACTGACAAAAAACATTTAAGAGATTTAAATGTTTGCACAATATTTAACTGCACTGATCTAATTTGATCATTCTTGCACACATGAAACATTCACTTCAACAACATGATGCATTGCAGTAAAATTAACAAAACACACAACACTGAACAATGTAACACAGTGGATGAATCGTGTGGATGGATGGTGCCCCTTCGTCTGGGTATCTGTGAAAGTTTCTATATGTCTGTGTGGCGTTTTGCAACAAGGCCGTGCACCATGCGCTTACATGCAAGCCCGATTCCAGCTCAGTGCAGTTGCCATTCTGTGGCAGCATTCACGTATGGAAGCAGAGAAAGTAAAAATGTAGAGAAACTTAGACGCTTCATTTATCCCCAGTTTTGGACGAGGCTTGGGATAAGGACAGGGTGACAGAGGGTGACTGTCAAGCATGTGTGCATAAACATGGAGCTTGAAATGTGTTAGTATTTGTGAGATATTTGATTCATCAGCAGAACTGCAGAGAGCATGACAAAGAGAAACAAGAGAGAGAAAATGAAACTGGTCCCATCAAACCCATGCATGGTGGTACACACACATGTCGTGCGGCAGTGTAGTAAAAGCAGCCATGCAGTCAGTGAGCGTGTTGTACCTGAGCGCGTAAGCCAGGTAGCTGCTGCGGCTCTTAGCTGACCTGAGCGTACTGTCCAGGGACACGGTGGACTCTCCGATGCCTGAGCGGTACAACGGGCCGTCTTCTGTGTATGTGTTGTTGCAGTTGAGGGAACGCTGTAAAAGGAGGAAGGAGTTTGAGCACATTTAAAATAAAGTCACAAACAAATGGGACACGGCATTCTGTAGTGTGACCTGCATGTGCGTCTGATCACTCACTGTGAGCAAAGACGCCCTTGTGGTGCTGGACTCGTCGGGTACGCTCTTCTTCCCAGTGAAGACGTTCTTGAGGTTCTTCCTCACTTCTTTGTTGAAGACCACATGGAAGAAGAAGATGAAGACTCCCTGTGATAAAAATATGTGATATCAGCAGCATGATTAGGGAGAAAGTTACTGTGCATATGTTTAAACAAATAGATCTTAGAGAATGTGAGCAGAATCTCCACTGACTGGTTCAGTATTAACCCTGTGTTACCTGCAGACAGCTGAAGATGGCGAAAAGGTAGTGGAAAGTCATCACATCGCTGTTGACTGCCATCAGGCCGAGCAGCCAGGTGGCGCTGATGAGCAGCAAGAGGAGGAAGGCCATTCGGAGTGCAGGGCTGAAGAGTGAAACACACACATGATGAGATCCCCCTTTCCTGAGACTGACGCTGCTGCTCTTTCCAAAATATAGATGCCAAAGTTAAATGAACATGCGGGTGTTGTGTTTTATGTGAGAGTGAAACGTACATAGCTCCTGACTTCTCCATCGCTTTCTGCCTGCGACCACAGGAAGCCTTCGCAGCGAGGATAAAGACCACTATGTTCACCTGTAGAGACGGTGAAGGAGAGAGAACGATTTTCACTATCGTTATACATTTCAAATCACATCCGTTTATTAAATAGAGACAATTGATGCTTTGAGAGTTTGCATTGTTTGAGCTGCCGGTAGACGACTTTAATTCATGTACATACCAGGACGACAACAAAGATGGGTCCTGCGAAGCTCCAGATGAGTGTGTCGTGGACAGAGAGCCAACAGAAGTCTGGGTTCCCGTATCCCTGAGGGTCGAGACCTACCGCCAGACCTAACCACACACAAACACATACAGTATTACTCTATCAAATTGTTTTAAAAACTTCACACACATATTAAATAACACAAGGTGACAAATCCAGGATATTCCCCTTGTATTTTCTTCCTATTCCAATTCACCCACTTTCATATCCTTAACTTATCACTTTCATTTGCACATGTCTGCCCTGTCTGCTTCGCTCTGCATCTCTCTCGCCCTCTTTCTCAATCCAAATTCCAATCAGGTTAAGCTCTGCTGGTATCCAGTAAAGCATGTCAGTACATCCCAAAGCATCTGATCCATTCAAGATGGGTTACAACAGTAAAATATGTAGAAGATAAAAGGTGACTAATTGGAGATATGAGCTGGTTAAAATGTAATGCTGCATGTTTATGAAGAGAAAAACACCTTTTTAAATATTAGAAATAGGAAAGAATAAAAAGATGCATGTTCATTTGTGTTATATTGTGTAGATATTGTGGCTTTCTAAAACAAAGCAGGATACAATATGTCTGTCTCTGCCTTTAAACTGTCCTCGTTTCTTGTTCATTCATTTTCCCACGAGGATTAAAGAGAGGAGACTAGTCCCAGCATGAATCTCCCTGACAATCTTCCATCTTTATTTGCTCTGTGTCCAAGTGTGTCTGTATGAGTGTGTGTGTGTGTGTGCGCGCCTCACCTGTGATGATGGCCGGTATGCCCCATCCCATGGCGTAGTAGAACCTCATGTGGCCGTGGTTGATGTTGCGCAGCTCGGTCAACATGCGGTAGATATGCAACCCTTCCACGAACATCCAGGCAAATGTGCACATGTAGAAGTAATGCAGGAGGATGGCGATCACCGTGCACACAAACTGCAGGGAGATGAGATGCAGAGGAGGGAAGACGAGACAGAGATCCCTTAGCATGTGTTTACATTTTGAATGAAATAGATGAACAATAAGAGAAGCTGCTTTATTTTGAACTACTACTGAGCAAAGTAATTCAAGGTCCATCGTACATCTGCTTTTCTATCAATTAAAAACGTTTATTTGCTCAGTTTAGTGTGTTAGAGTGTGGACACCCGACAGATACTGATGAACCCCAGCTCACTGGGTTCAGACAACATCTTCTACAGTGCACATGCCTGTAATCGGGGAAAACAAGCACCAACCATGTGTGTCAGAGACAGAGACACATTTACAGCATTGGGCGGGTTCGGACACAAACTGTGCATTTCCACTGTGTATCAAACGTATTGAAATACTGAGCTGTTTGGCACATAAGCAACGTATGAGGATGTGTTGACAACTTTCCAGCAGTTAAATAGACCAAATATCACAAAGGTATAAACAGATTAGTCGATGGTGAAAATAATACTTTCAGCCTAAGCGGCAGTATATCTCAAAAGTTTTTTATGCCAAACTTCACCAACTTATGTAATGCAGCAACAATTCAAAGAGAGAGAGAGAGAGAGAGAGACTACCTTGACAGGGTTATAAATCATCCTGCAGATGGCCCTGGGCACACACTGACAGAATTCCACAGTACTGACACACACACACACACACACACACACACACACACACACACAGACATGCTTGTACATTGCACACAAAAGCACTGATGAATTCGTATATATTAAAAAAGAAAAGGAAAACCACAGATTAAACTCTCTTTTAAAAAAAAACTCCCTGCAGACTTGGCTTCTATGATTCATACAGGTGCTGATAACGCAGTGTGTAACTCAGACCCCCTCAGTCCAGTCAAAACACTGTGAGTCAGAACAATTGTACCAGAAACTCCCACAACTCCTCTGGAACCTGTAAACATACATGCTCCTAATCTTTTATTTTTGTTTGGTGGTCAGACTTGGACACTAATATTAAGCTATGGTTGGTACAGTATAGCTCAGTCAAGGGCAGTGAAATGTGATTGTTGCTGCAGAACAGAGGAGGCCATCTGCTCAGTGAGAAGAGTTTACGAGTCGACTCTGTTTCAGATGTAGAACATTTTTAAATATAAGGATTTGTAGATTTACTTATTTATTAAATGGAAGTGATGCTGTGATGTTACACAGATCTTCTTCTAGAACATGAGTTTGTACTCGTCACGTGAAACCTAATATCTTGATTCAGTAGACATCTGAACTTGAGCTAATATGATGAGACAAAGACAGAAATAAATAAAAAAGTATTGCAGTAATTGCCTTAAACTCCACTGAAATATAGTCCACTGTGATGGTCAAAACCAAACATCTGGCTGACAGCTGGCGTTCAGCAGTTTCTACCCATGATGGTGTTACAGGATTGACAGTTGGACCTGATGATCCAGTGACGTCTTTGTGTAACGACTGTAAACATCTGGTTCAGCCAGACGAGTCAGAACTGACACATTGATTTTAAAAGGAGATTGTGTAACTTAAAACACATCAGTTGTTGCTTTAAAAGTTTTTTGATTTTGTGACTGCTGTTTTATACACTTTACTTCAGCATGTATAATTATGCACTACTTGTGGCTGCAGTGGCTGCTTGTTTTTTGACGTCTCCTCAACGCTATCAAGTATTTTGACTTTCTTAACCCAATTGCATTATAAAATAAATGAGCAGGATAACCTGTCAATTAAAAGATTAATGTTGTAGCAGAGACATGTGAGAGATTCATCCAGAGAAAACCAAGGAGTCGTTGTGGGAAACATTTGCCAAGGTCTACAACCCTGAGGCCTGTTTCTGGAGACAGGTACCAGTCACAGCATGTCTCCGCTACTGGCCCACAGAGAGGTGTGTGTGTGTGTGTGTGTGTGTAGCTATAAAGCTGTGTGTGTCCGAATGTCTTTGTCAGCAGACTTCAAAGTATTCCCACACTGTTTGATCCTTTACTGTATGTGCATGTTTCTGTGACCGACCTAACTCTGAACTAGAACATGAATGCAATAATGTACACTAATCAGCTCAGTAGACAGACTGCAGACTCTACACTGTCTCAGCCTACATCCTATAGCTCTTTAATTAGAGAGACTTACTGACATTTTAAACTTAAGACAGAAAAATAAACTGGTATTGTTCGAAGAGGTTTTTGGCATCCAGTGGATTCCTAACTAATACAGTCATAGCAAATCGTCAGGTAATCGTCAGGTAATCTCTCAGGTAATCCTCGGCCCATTGAGTGAGGTAAACCCCTGTCAACACGACATTAGATGGCAGCCCGCAGGCCAAACAAATTGTTGTTGGGATTGAGAGAGACATCCCTATCCTGCTTCATGTTCCACATAAGTGTGCCACAAGCACAGGAAAGCTACTAATTGGCGTGTGTCAATTTTGCAGTCTGTGTTGTTTCCATCAAAATGCCACGGACGTCATTTTTTTTCCTTTTGTTTCTATACATCACCATCTTCTCCTGATTTGTGATTATGATTAGGTTTTCTCTTGTTCAGTCAGAGGTTACATTTTTCTCTCCACTGTCTTGAAGTGTTTGCTCGGTTTAGGAAACGTCGAGTTTCTCTGTAATATCGTGAGATCTCGCCCAGTGCTTTGTAAAGTGTTTTATAATGCCTCCATCAAGTTTCATCAAAATATGTCTTTAAGTAATCTTAATTACAAACAAACAAATCAACAGGGGTGAAAACATGACCTCCTTGGTGAAGGTAAGCGTATATCCCTGAGTCACCTGTAACACTTAAATACTACTGAAATTCAATAGTGTTGCTAAGTGTGTTTAATAAACAGCTGAAAAAGCTAAAAGTAATGGAAGGATAACACCTGATAACGTCCACCTGCCAACACATGTGGTACAAGTAGAAACTTGAAAAAACCACCTGAGCAGACAGTTCAATTCTCTGCAAACATCAATGTAACATTATCCACTCTGCTATAATTAATAGTGTTGAATAACATCCAATTCAAAATCCCTTCAAAAGAGCAAGTTTGGAACATGCTGGATTTTGCTGATGAACGAGAACTTGAGTCCATCTTACAGGGTTGTGGGGTTATGTCTGACAATAAAACACACTCACCGGATTGTCAGTCTGGTTGATGCCGAGCAGGAAGACAAGCTCAGAGAAGAAGAGTGCCGCCACCAGGTTCCGATGGATGGCGTGGAGGTTGGAGCGGAGGCGGCGCAAGAGGCACAGTAAGATGAAGGTGAGGAGGAGCAGGGTGAGGGAGATGGACACTGTGGTGTAGGTGACGATCTTCAGGGGCAGAACGTCACCGTGCTGTGGAGAGAGATTCAGACATGGAGTCAGGAACAACATACGAATTAAACTTTGCATTAAGTGGTGAAACAGCAGAGATGAAAGTTTAAGGACGCACCTCTCTCTTGGAGATATCCATGAGCACAGCGAAGCTGGTCAGATGATTACACTGACAGCTTATGTGGCTGTTGTTTCTGTTCAGCACCTCGCAGCCTTTAGAAGACCAGCCGCCTGTTCCTCCGATCCTAAACACCAACACACATATACACAAAAATCAGGAATGTAGAATTGTACAACAGACTGCTTGGGAAACTAACTACATCCACGAACACTGCAAATGTTTATTTCTGAGAGTCTGCAAACTAAAGTCCAACTCACGCAATGGAGTGGTCCCAAAAGACGCAGACAGGCTTGGTCCTCTCCTCCGTCTCCAGCAGGGTGTACTCCAGGGTGATGGGGGGGTCTAAGGTGGGTGGGAGAGGCGGGCCCTCACTGTGGACTGTGGCACTCACAATGGCCGTGTTGATCACCGGACGGTTAGGAAGTCTGGAAACAGAAACGTTTTTAAACACTGAGCTAAAGCAAGTTTTCACAACAGACCACAGACTCATAGAGTGTATATAAAAATGGACGACTCCTCTTCCTTCCTGGATATGATGCATGCGCTCGACGAGTCACGAGTCAGTAACAGCTGTCAATTTCAATCCCATTTATAGCATCAAAATATCTAACTATAATAATGAATTCAAAAAGTACACATATAGAAAAAATAAATACAAAACAACTCAATAAAACTTCTTGTTCAAAGGGACCCGTTAAAATGAGCACAGACATTAGTGCGTAATCTTTACGCCCTAGAATTATAGAAAGCATCTCTGAGAAAGAGACTTTTTAGTTTGTTCCATGTCCCATCCACTAACATGGAGAAGGCAAAGTTTATGACTTTTACTGCCGCCAGACATCAGGGATTGGTCAAGACGCTTTTGCTTCACTTTTGAGGAGCTACACACCATCAATGCTGGAGGCCCAGAAGTTTACATATGAAGACACTTTATTCTCTTATCTTATCATTTTGTTTACGTCCCATTCTTGTCTCACAATCATATTTTTGGTCTAGTTTTATCTCCTGTCACCTACAGAAGTAATTCAGGAACACTCCCCGTCTCAGCATCACAGGCCTACGTGGGCAGAGATAAGGTGGTTCTTTCAAACACTCTCAAAGTAAATATGATATGTTTTAACATTAAAGATTAAATATTCTCATGGTATGTGGGGGCTCTTGAACAGTTTACAGAACATTGTGAATTATAGTGCGTATAGAGTTCAGACAGAGAGTGGGCTCTTTCTTTTCCCCTCTGTTTAATATCACTCTTCATCTGTTTGACTGCTTTACACATAATGATTTAATCCCAGCAGAGTATGTGAGAAAGAGGGTCTGCACTCCCACGTTTTTTGCGTCTAACAAAAGCATGTATAACAACATGTAACCGTGTATAAGTCTGAACTTGTTTACTTAAAGCCTGAAAGTATTTTATAGATACTAGTCAATCGTCTACCTCAGACTCCTGCGATCAGGGTCATATCTTTCCGGGAGCAGCTCTCCCAGTGATTTGTACACTATCACCACAGCAACCGGCAGAGGGGCGGCAGGCTCGAGGTGTCGGCGTCTCCTATCAGACACTGTGTGCTCCTCCTCCTGAGGGGGGTCAGTCTGAGTCGGAGGGGCTGGAGTGGGTTCAGCTGAGTTAGATGGAAAGATAAAGTGATTGACTAAGAATGCTGTTTCAATAAAGTGTTTCACTACACTTATGAAAATATGTGGTTTTATTCTACCTCTGTGGTTCTGGGTGCGGATGTTGAACTGGGGGAAGTGGACAGACGACCCAAGCTCTTTGGAATAAGTCTCCTGGATTTCCTGGAACCGAGGGAACGTCGCCTTTTCTGGGTCGGACACGTCCAGGTAGTCCACGGTTAGAACTAGAAAACGGGCAAAGAGGGGAATCGTGAGCGTGATGTGACACCGTGAACCTGTTTGTCCCACAGCGGGTTTTCTATTCTTCTACTCACTCATGTTGTCCGTAACAATCGTGAAGGGTTTCAGGTAGGTCTTCCTGACGTTCTGAGCCAGCGTGTTGGCGTAATCCTCAAAGTTGCGGAGCAGGTGCGCCGTGCCTCCATCGGTCTTTTGGATCTGCTCCCAGTGCTCCTTGGTTCCAGGATCCAGGATGGCACTGCCCGCTCGGACTAAATTCTGGAAAAAAATAAACAGGTAACATCAATAGAAATTTCCAGAATCAGGCCTGCAAAGTTTAAGAGTAATGCTGAACTGCAAATCAGTTAAAAAGATTAGCAATTCATTCAAAACTGTTTTTATCTCCAATATTCAGCCTGGGACAATTTTCTAAACAGAGTTTGGTGTATTTGTTACAGTGGCAGCTTATCTGGTTCAGGAACGGGGATCAAGTGTAATATCCACTGTTCAGTTGTTTTTTCAGTTTGATGGGCTTTGTTTTTTCTCTACTTGAAAATTCCTGATAACTCAAACATAATTAATCACCACGAATGGCTGCAGAAGGCGCTGTTGCTCAGTAAAAGAGTTGCTTTAAGTTCTTTTCTAAGTTGAAATCTGTCCAATACCTTTAAAACACTAATCAAAGTTGATAATTATATCCATTCACTTTTCTTTTCTACCTCATTGAACTCTGCATCCCTCATGGCGGTGAGGTCGAACCCCGCCTGCCGGCTCTCGTACAGCAGCACGTGATTCAGCAGCTGGGCGGCCGTCTTCACATCGTTGCCGTAGTAATGCGGGGTGTTGCTGGTGGCGCTGTTAAGCAAGCGCACAATGTTCTTGGAGTGCTCGCCGTCCATCCTTGAGCTGTTGCGCCGAAGGTCGTCGCTCTGGAAGAATGAAGGGAGTGGGGGGGGTGAAAAGAGAATGAGAAGGAGCGCTGAGTGGGTGCAATGAAACAGAACAGAAACTGGTCAATTCCGGGATTAGTGAGACTTGGAGAAAGTTCAAGACTAAAGTATTAGGTTCAGGTTCCAACACAATAGATGAAAAATCTCCAAAAGACTGTTGATCAAATTACACTTGAATAGAGACAATGCTGAGAATCCACCCAGCAGGTGTACACTGATATTTCCTTTTCTCTGTGCTCATTTGTGCATCTCTCAGTTGAACTTACAGAAAGACCAGCGTTGACTTTGCAATTTGCTCAACGGACAATGGCACCACAAATACTTGAGTGGAAGATTTTCATCATAAGTTTAAATAGTTAAATTTCATTTTGACTCACCAGCTTCTTCAGGTGGGAAAAGGTGACGGTGGTGCAGTTGAAGAGCTCGGGCAACAACCAGCCTTTCTCGTCACTACAGTGGCGGATGGCAGTGCCTGAGGAAAATACTCACATTTAATTCCTGACCTATGTGAAAACCATATAATCAAAAAACAACTTTACAGCACAAAATATTCTTTAAAAAATTAAATCTTTTGTGCTGGGTTTTGCTTCTCAGGCTGATACCTGCAGACCGGGCTAAATAACAAACTGTATACTATAGCTATGGAGGTTTTATAAGAAATCCTTTCATCTATACTTTCATTTTTGAGTAATATTGTCTTGAAAAAATGCTTTGAATAGACATAAGTCAAAAGTTCAGGTGTGAAAGATCAGTGCTGTGCTCTTTGTAGTGAAATCACATGTGTGATACTAGAAAATGGTCAGAACGTGTGCTGAAGTTAAACAGCTAAAAATATATAAATACTTCTTGTTTTAGTGGTTTAAAAATCTGAATCTGTTATTCCAGTTGGAATCAGTCTGAGAAAAGACTTCATCCAAATGTGAAGTCGCTTCTCGTGCTATTGTTCAGAAGAAGAAATGGCTAAAGGAGTTGCCAGTTGAAGCCCGGAGAGGGTGAAAGGTGGTGGTAACAGCAGAAAAAAGTTTGGGGGGAACGACAAAAGGGTTCACCATGGTGACGGCGGTTACTAAGGGGTTGTTACCAGGAAAGTGATGGTGCTTTACTGAGAACGGGTCAGTGGGCTCAAGATCTGAGTTCACCTCTATTCTCTCACTCTGTGTCTCAACCACACACAAATACAGTATACACACACACACACACACACACACACACACACACACACACACACACACAGCTGGCGGAGGTGGGGTATTACTGTCAGTAAATGTACCTGGTGTTTCTGTGCAAAAACTAAACCTGTTTGGTGAGAAAAGCACTGCTGAATTAAACGACCAATCAGAGAGCTTCTTTACAGTTTTTTTCAGGGTATGCCTTAATATATATTCACTCAAGAACAAAGTTCAGCTGGTGTGACACAATAACTCTTAACACTTACACGCTGATGCGTGTGCAAGAATTTTGGGGGGTGTAGCTTCTGAAGGAGCAGTAAACAGAGGGGTGTTCTTCTCCAGATTCACAAACTCCACCTTCAAGAGCACTCACCCATGGATCCTTTGGGACAGTTCATGGCGGCGGGCCGTCCAAAGTTGGTCTTGGGCCACCAGATGCCTGCGTCGAACGCCTTGGGGCAGCCCTTGTACACCACTGTGGAGGAAAGAACACGTAAATCACACGGTTCAGGTGTGATTTTAGACAAAATTAGAGAAGTTATATCATTAACTAAACCTGAACTACTGAAAACTTTACATTTACCAGAAAACATCTTAAGGCAACACCGCTACTGCACAATAGTGTGTGGATACCTGATCTGGGACTGTCGTGCCGGGTTTGAATTAAAAATTGGGAAATGATACTCAGGTATGGTTCAGGTCGGTCACGTTGGCTGGGTTACTCTATTTTATGTACATTTCGTGAAACTATAGTATGAAAATAAATCAAACTGATGGACCTGCTGTCGGTGTTGGGGCTATGGGGCTAGTTAATAAACATCCAGGACAAACCAGCAGGATTTCATGCAGGTCCAACAATGTTTCATTCATCTTCCTTAGCAAATTCACTGCTGTGACCTGTAACTTCTCCAAGTTCATTTAATGTGGACCTGTTTGTGAAATGCTTCCAAAAACCTTTTTCAGTTTTCAATAAAATACAAAATAAATGATCATTTCTCCTTTTCCTCAAGGGTCATTTCTTTCAAAACCATAAGAGCATCTGTCATCATCAGCGGCTGTGGGGACATTAACTGAGTTATTGAGAGGCTTCCTGTCGTCCGGGCTGCAGAGCTGACAGATCGGTATGAAGCCTGCCATGGATGGTTACATCTCAGTGACTCGCACAGCATAACCAAAGAATGTTCTCTTTTTTCATCCTCACCACTTCCCTAAGTCAGTTCCTCCTGTCAGGATTCATTTAAGCATATCCACATGAAACTATCATATCTGAAATCATATCAAAAAAATAAAAACCCATGATTTGGAAAATCTGTCATCAACAAAGAGAACTACATCCAGATCCATTAAAAGTCGGAGCACGTTCTGAGGCGTGGAAGAGCTTCATATTGGGTCAAACAGTAACGACATTGACATTTGTTCTCAGGACTTTGTGGTTTTGTCTTCCATTCATCTCTACTGTATTGTGTGTTAGCAGTGCTGCTGCCAAGTTCGCCCACAAGCCAGACTCGCCTCTTCTGCTTGGCTGGCTGGCGACAAAGACAGCGAAGTTAGCTCGACTGCAGCACCAGCAGATGTGAGCGACACTATTTGTCTCCTCCTGACACTTCATCAATTCATCCGGGTACACGTTGTGAACCGGAACATTTAAAGGAATAATACACCCAATACATTCAGAACCGTCCTTGTCATAAATATGTGACCTTCATGGTTTCACTTCTCATGAACAGCATGTTGTTTATGTGATCAGGCAGCGATTTGGAAGAGCAATGGACAAGTTATGTTTTATTTGAATGAGTTCCAATTATTCCTTAATTTATAATAAATTAACTTCTGTTTTATACAATGTATAATTGTATACATTGCATTTTTAATTTTATACCTATATTTTGCATTTCTATTTTTCTTGTTATTGTCTTGATCTGTATATATATTTCTATTCTTGGCTGAAACAGCTGTAACATAACCCAATCTCCCCCCAGGAATGACTACAGTATTTCTCTAAGTAATAAATAATTACTTCAGATATGAGTGTATTCATCTGTTGAATGTAATCAGAAATGTGCTCTTTTGCAGGACTGATTTATTCATTTTATTAGTATTTTGTAAATTTGGCAGAATCACTTTGCAGAAATAGATGCTCAAGAAAATATTATGCAATAACCATATTTTGATTTCAATGTCACAATTTCCTGTTTAGAATAGAGTATAAACTTCACTTGCAATGAAGGTAGAACGAATTGGGAAATACTACATATTAAGTTGACATAATTAATGAATTCAAATACCTTCACATCCAGAGGGCGTGACTTCAGCGAAGGGGTTATCGCAGCGGTTGCACTGACGACCTATGACTCCTCCCTTACAAGGGCACTGTCCGGTGATGGGGTCACACGTCCGTGACTCAGAGCCGACTGAGAAACACTCACAGGGGTAACAGGTGTCCTCACCCTCTGGACGATAGTGGTTGTCCTGTGGGAAGAGAAGATGCGTTGCACTAATGAAATATTCAGTTCATTAAAAAAGAGCTGGAGGACATTTCCATAAACTCAGGCGCCATCTGTGCATCTTTGAAATGAATCCAGGTAGTTTTTACTTATCAGCAGCAACAAGCTACGATTACAGTTTGATCATAAAGATGTGCAAGTGAAAATAAGTCATGTCAGATAAATGAGTTGTCAAGCTACACGTCAAACCAGATCATGTGAGGTTTCCAAAAAAATGTCCTGTGCAACCTTTCTTCTAAAAATTCTCCTTAAACACAACGAAAACCCTTTTAACTGGTGAAATCTCATGTTTTGTGTGTTTGTACCTTGCAGCGACACTCTCCTGTGGTCTTGTTGCAGTCTTTGTGAAATCCTCTGGTAGTATCACAGTTACAGGGACCACACATGGGATTGCCCCACCAGCCGAGGGGACACGGCTTCTCCACTCTGTCATTGAAAAACATGGACAAATTGAATTAGACTCAGAACACACATAATTTTATACCATTTAAATAAAAAGAAAATATAACCCCGACTATTCCCAAGACCTAACGCGACCAATATGAATTTTTTACAAAGGAATGTAACTGTGGCTTAATATTTTACAGATTAACCATAACCTTATGAGTAGGCATACATAACAAAAAATAAGTAAGACAAATATTTGCATTGTTTATTCTGTTAAATCAAAGTTTTTACATCGATGTATCTGCCCATTTTATTCTCTAACCGATAAATCAGTCAAGCTCTAATACACTAATTCTTCCAGAAATGCAGGTTAATCTTGCATTCAGCCTCAGATTTGTATTTTCTCCTCAAATTACAAAACAAATAAGAAGAATTTTCTTTCTCCAGATGCTCTTTATACCAACAAAAGAGAATTATTAGAAAAGACGATAAAAAAACCACTAGATTACATTGCTTTATACTCAATGTGATGGTTGATCAGGTTTCAACATGTTGCTGACCTGGTATCAGCTTGTACAAATCTGATAACTTCCTATCAGTCAAGTTGATCTCTCACTAAACGTCTCGTGCTGCTCTGAATCTAGAATAAACTGCCTCTACAGTTTGAAGTCAGTGAATCAAGTGTGACTCATTCATACAAACACACAGAGACTTCCTTTCTCCCAGGAGAGAGAGAGAGAGAGAGAGAGATGGGATCTCCAGCGGAGTGATGTGATCTGATAGGGGACAAGTGCCGGTATGAGTGCAACTGAGACTAAACACCTATGGAGGATCAGTCAGGCATGACGAGGGAATCCCACATCCTGCTCCAGACAGGAAGTGATGCGTGTCGGAAGGGTCAGGGTTAAGGGAGGAAATGACTGGTTCTCAATCAGGGTTGGCTAATTCACAGGAACAGTAGGACAATGCTGACTGTGAAGGCCTACACACCTCTGTGTGCATGAATAACTTAATTTCTTCTCTTTTTGATATATCTCTCTTTCTCTTTCTCTATTCACACACACACACACACAGGAACACACACTCTTTCCATCTCAGATTACTGACTTATAAAGCTGCTCTCAGGACATTGGCAACATTATGAAAAGAGCAAGAGCCTAACACAACAGAAGAAGATTAGTGGGCTGTGTCTCTGGTTATTTTTAACATCTGGATGCGAAGGACTCTTGTATGTCTTGGAGGGAACATTGGGCACAAAACGTTTCTGTCTTTCAAATGTCTGAGAATTTAAAGTAAATATCCTGAAGTGTCTCTACCGGGACGCGAATGTTTGAGTGCACATCTTAAAGCATCTTTAAAGACACACACACGGAGAGGAGGTGCGCTTACTTGTTTTCACAGTACTGGCCATAGTAGTTCTGTCCACATTCACAGGTGTATCCATGGGAGGAACTTTGTTTGCGAACACAGGTGGAAACATGCTCACAGGGGTTGAGCTGACAAGCGTCCACACACCCCTTACCAAAGTAACCTGAACAGGAAAAAGGTGAGAAATTAAATGACTGGGTGCAATTAACACTTTGTAAAAGAACTTGTGTTGATGCATGTGGGTATTTATTACCTGAGTCACACACACAGGTGTACGTGCTCCAGTCGTCGCTGCAGTGGCTGTTGTCGGGGCAGATGTTGGAGTCGCAGGGGTCGTCCAAGTCGCAGCCGTCCTCCACGCGGATCTTTAGACCCCGAGCCATGTTCACGTTGGCTACATTGGTGGATGTCTCACCCACGCGGACACCCTGATGGACAGGACGAAGTGATGAAGAGTGGAAGCAAAAGGATTGTTGTTTTGATCCTTTTCAAGACTGCACACACACACACACACGCGCACACGCACACGCGCGCACACACACACACACACACACACGCACACTAACACACACACACTCACACACACACACATACAGACACACAAACAGACCTGCATGCAGCCAACAAATCCTTTGTTGACATGGTTTCCTTCTCCAGGCAAACCTCCAACGTGCAGAGTTTGCAGCTTCAAACCTGGAAGGTCATTACCGATTTCCACTGACTTCTGAATAAAAAAAGTTTTTCAAAAAATTAGTAAAACATTTTCATGCTTGATCCTGACGCAGCACGTTTACAACTTGTGATGAAATGTGCCCTTTACCTGGTACATGCTATAGTCCAGTGAAACCGTGGCCATGTATTTAATGTCCTTGCCGTCTTTAATACTCCTCAGTTCTACCAGCAAGTGGTGCCACTCTCCGTCATCGACTCGAACTTGGGGGAAGCTCAGCGACGCCACCAGCTGCGTCCTCAGCCACACTTCCATACGGACTTGTTGCTCACTCACCTGGACGATGGTGAAGATTACATTTATTGACAAGGAATTCTAAATTACCACTAAATTGTAGATACAAATTCTACCCTATATGCTGACGATGCTGGCTTTTCTGTTCCGTGAGCTGATCATCTTACCATGAGGTTGATGGTGGAGGAGGGTCCGACGTTGGCCTGCATGAGGGTGCCAGCGGGCTGCCTGGTGCGGAACATGAGGCCCATGTACCAGGGAACGGCAACGGTGATGTCAGGGTCGCTCAAGGAAACCAGCGCTTGACCGTCGAAGAACTGAGGAGACGGCATCACTGGAGAACGACATGACGGAAACATTTTGATTAGTGTTATTTGTTTAAATGTGCTATGAATAACTTTTAAGGGCAAGTCGGTGCTATATTTACACAGAGACAATTAAGTAACTCCGCAAAATTATCAGACGTCTACTGGGAGGCAGTTTTCTACAGGACAGGACAAGCTTTCAGAATTTCACACAGGGAACAGCCAATTGTGAAATCCAACATAATTATCAGCTTTGGTGCAGTGAAGGAGAAAGAATTAAACATGGAGGAGACTAAACGTTGTAGTTTCTTTGTACTATGAAGCTTTTTTGTGAGTAAAGACCAAAAGCTTTATACTTTGTTTGTATCCATGCAGACAAAGTCATCTCACCCACTGTATTTCTCAGTTATAGCAATTATACAGAAGTGTTACAGACTTATTATTATTATTATTGAGTTGATGAAGTATTTAGAGTTTGGTAACAATGCTCAATTTGTGAGGTTTTTAAATACTAATTTAAAATGTTTGGTTACTATCAAGTTTTCAAAATCAACACCCACGCACTCACACACATAAACAGCATGGGTCAACCTTTCAGCACAGCATGTGTTTCCTCCTGCATAATCTGCAGCGTAGACACTGTATGGGTCCTCAGGGCACAGATTTCAACTGAAGCAAACACACGCGCACAAAAGCTGCAATTAAGAGATAAAGCACATATTTGTTCCTGGTTGCAGGTAGCTGCAGTGGTTCGAGTCGGAGTGCTTTGCCGAAGCTTAGCGCTGCGTAAAACGAAGAGACAACCACTTCTAGAGATACTTTCTTGAGTTGCTCATTCCTTATGTTGCTTTCAGACATGCACTGCACTTCAGACATTCTGCGTATCTGAAGGTATCGATCTGAAAGCATCAAGTAAGGACACAGAGTTTCCTTTGTATGGTAACTTATTGACAACCTGCAGAATATGTTGAGTGAAGCAGATTTTCCTCCTCTTATTTGTTTGCATTAAAACAAAACCTTTTAACCTCTTTAAGACAATAAAACAAAATATTCTTCTCCTAAATAAAAAGACGAATTCATTAGAAATTAGCACGGCAATCCGTTCCTCCGCCCAGGCTCAAACGTACATTTTGTGAAACAGCAACTAATTGCACACACCAATGCTGCTTTCATACATGCACTGAAGTCTGGACACCAGTGATTTCACTGTTTGGTGTTTACAGCACTCAAACAATCTCCTGCTGCATCGTTCATATGAGAAAAGGCAAAGTTCATGTGTGAAAACAGCTTAATTTAGCTTTTTCAAACCTCACATCTTTTCTTGGAACAGTGTTAAGAGGCGATTGAGCATAAATCTGGTTAGTCTAATCTGAGTCTTTAAATTCTTCTGGATAATGGTGAAGTTCACACAGAGCTGCAGTTGGTGGATGGGAGAGCAGACACAGGAGCATCGACCAGAAACAAATCGACCAGATATAGTGACTATAATAACGTTTAATTCCAAAACACCTTGTTTGACACCAGTCCACAGATTTAAATTCTACTTGTCATAACAAGTTAATGCCACCCAGACGTATTTCCAGTGTATAGTAAGCTTATACTTAGCCCGGCTTTCATTTAACATGACACAACTCATTCCCTGACTTGATAAAAATCTGTCTGAACAGTTGAAACCTCTTCTGATTAAATACAAAGAAAAACTGTCTGACTTGGATTTCATTCTTTTTGTGTGTGTGTTTCTCCAGTCTGGATGCGTTTGGCAGCGGAAAAATAAATGACGCCGAATCCCTTGTTTTTTCCGTGCGGTGGCAGCGAGGTCGCACGGAGCCTCAAACCAAACGTGTCAACAAAAAAGCGGAGCAGCCAAAAACCCTCTTCCCAGCTCGCTGTGATCGCGGGCCCAGTTCAGACACCGGATACCGGAGGCTGGCACTGCTGAGGCAGCTACCTCATATGAGATGGCAGAAAGAGGTATTCACACCTTTGCATATTGTTTGGAAGCTCGCCCTGAAGGAGGGGAATCAAAGTTCTCGCCTTACATTAGGAGAACATGAGATGGATGTAAATATCAACAATTTTGGGAAGTGATGATTTTATGTTCCCTGACATTTATTATCTCCTAGGTCCTGATCAATCTTTCAGCACGTATGGCTACAGATAAACTGTATACCCTCCACACCACACACAGTATGGTGGGGGGGGGGGGGGGGGGGGGATTTTTTTTTTCATCCTTTTTTGAGGAGTGACTCAGAGTTTGATCTTTGTCCTAAAACTTCAAACCTGAGCCCTGTTTGTGTGTGCGTGTGTGCGTGTGTG